CTCCGATTGATGTCACCCCTTAGCCCTCAACCATTTAGCCCTAAAACCTAAACCCCAAACTCGAAACCCAAAACCCAACTTGGAACCCTGAACCCTGCTCAAAACTCTCGACCCCTTTCTCTAAATTCCACTTGGCACCCCAAATCCTAAACACCTAAACCCCTAAACCCTCAACCCAAGCCCCAAAAATCTAAACCCTAAACCCTCTGGACGTCCGTCTGGGGAGTACCAGCCGTCGGTCTGGCCGAGGTTCCCATGCTGGGCTCTCCGTTTAGGGTTTAGAGTTTAGGGCTTGGGGTTTAGGGTTTAGGGTTTAGGGTTTCGGGTTTAGGGTTTAGGGTTTGGGTTTAGGGTTTAGTGTTTAGGGTTTAGGGAAGATGTGCAGCCTGCGAATTTCGTTCTTCAGCCTCTCCTGCAACCAGGCAGGCCAGCGACCGAAGGCAGACGGCCTCGGAGGCTGTGCTCCACGCGGAGGCGGGCCATGAGAGTATGCGCTTTGTCCCGAGCCTGCTGCTTGTCCTGGGCACCACCCTGCCCAAAACCCGCCTTGCCCACGCTGGCCGTCAAGGCGGTCGAGCCTTTGAGTGTCAAAGGTAAGACCCGAAACCCAAGACAATTGCTGGTGCAACCTTGCCCCCCCCCCTCAGACCATCTCTGAGCTTTTTGGGCTCCTCCCAGACCATTTCTGAGTTTTTTCGGGCTTGTGCGAGACCATTTCTGAGCCATTTTGGGCTTCTCGCAGACCATTTCAGAGCTATTTTGGGCTTCCATTTCTGAGCCTTTTCGGGCTTCTCCCAGACCATTTCTGAGCTTTTTGCGCTTTCCCCGGACCATTCCTGAGCCTTTTTGGACCCATTTCTGAGCTTTTGTTGTTCACCCCCCCCCCCCCCCCCCCCGGACCATTTCTGAGCCTTTGCCAGACCGTTTCTGAAGCAAAAAACAATCTTTTTCGTTCACAAGGAACCCCCCAAATGCGGGGGGACCCCAGGATTGGCCTGGCCCCACAATGAAAATGCGATTTTTTAGTACTGAAATCGATGGTTCTGGGAAGCCTCTCATTTCTCCCCGCAAGCCCTAGCAAAAGCTTCTGGAGCGTTTTTCGGGTTTCTCCCAGACTATTGCTGAGCTTTTTTGGGTTCCTCCCAAACCAGTTCTGAGTTTTTTGAGCCTCCCAGACCATTTCTGAGTTTTTTGGGGTTCCTCCCAGACGATTTCAAAGCCTTTTTCTGGGCTTCACCCAGACCATTTCTGAGCCTTTTGGGCTTCTCCCAGACCATTTCTGAAGCAAAAAAGCTGGAAGCCTTGGTTGTCACCCTTCTCCAGACCATTTCTGAGCTTTTTTGAAACCATTTCTGAACCGCCCACGCTTCAGGAAGTTTGGCATCCTCCAAAAGCTTCGAAAGCTTCACTTCAGGCCTTTACACAGCCTAGTCTTCGTCAAGGGAGAGTCGTATCGGGACGCTGGCCCGGTCGAGGGGCAGCGCTACCCCTTCGGTAACCCAAATTGCTTGGCGTCGATGGTTTCCGTGCTGGCAAACGAGGATCGCAGATGAGCGATGCCAAACGCCCTCACACAAGCACGTCGGGACGCAGGCCCGGTCGACGGGCAGCGGTACCCCTACGGTAACCCAAACCAATCTGTGAGACACATGCCAGACGCCTTACGCGGGATGCCAAGCGCCAACAGGCATGTTTTCACAGCCTAGTTTTGGGGTCAAGGGAGGGCAAAACATAGGGGCAGCGTTTGCCAGAACTTCACTTTGCAGACCTGCCCCCACGAGGCTCAGGTCGGGACGGTGCCGAAACAGCGTGCACAGGGGCACAGCATGCCCCTGCTGAGGAAAAAACAAAAGCAGACTTTGGGAACTAAACCCTAAAATAAATATGCCGGGTGGCTTGGGGTGGGCTTACCGCCACGCGATGTCGCGAGCGACCCGGGCAGAGGGGCCGGTTAGAAAAATAAAGTGAGGCCCCGGAGCCCAGCGAGCAACCCAGAACGTAACACACCCTAAACCCTAAACCCTAGTCCGAGCCCTCGATGCCCCTCAAGCCGCGGTGCCCTCGGCCCACGCCCAGCAGGTTCCGCGCCTTGCGGCTCAGGTCTTCGACCGTGGCGGCCTGGGCGCATCGTCTACGCTTCTGTTTAGGGTTTAGGGTTGAGGGTTTAGGGTTTAGGGTTTAGGGTTTAGGGTTTAGGGTATGGGGGGTTTAGGATTTAGGGTTCAGGGTTTGCTTAGGGCTTAGGGCTTAGGGCTTAGGGCTTAGGGCTTAGGGCTTAGGGCTTAGGGCTTAGGGCTTAGGGCTTAGGGCTTAGGGCTTAGGGGGCTTAGGGCTTAGGGCTTAGGGCTTAGGGCTTAGGGCTTAGGGCTTAGGGCTTAGGGCTTAGGGCTTAGGGCTTAGGGCTTAGGGCTTAGGGCTTAGGGCTTAGGGCTTAGGGCTTAGGGCTTAGGGCTTAGGGCTTAGGGCTTAGGGCTTAGGGCTTAGGGCTTAGGGCCTAGGCTTTGGGGTTTGGGGTGTGGGGTTTAGGGTTTGGGGTTTAGGGCTTACAAGTATATATACATATATATATATATATAAATAGATCGCGGTTTGCAAGGTCTATTTAGGGCTCTACTGTATATATATATATATATATATATATATACACATATATACATATATAGAGAGAGAGAGATAGACAGACAAACAGACAGCTAGATAGATAGATATAATTATATGTATATATATATATATGGTCACTTCTCTAACATATCCCTTGCGGGGCCCTTATTATAAGGCGCCCCCTCTCATTGTGGGCACCCAAAAAGGGACCATAGTGTAGAGAACTGACCATGTACACAGAAATAAAGTGTGTTTACTTGGAGGTTCATGGCACTTAATATCCCAATAATATAGCTGTACATCTAACCCACTTATAACCGCACTAGGGCACTTAAGTGGCTTCTAAGTGGGTTATAGGTACAGTCATTATTGGGTTATAAGTATCATGAGCCTCCAAGTAAACCCTAAACCCTAAACCCTAAACCTGAGCCCTAAACCCTAAACCCTAAACCCTAAACCCTAAACCCTAAACCCTAAACCCTAAACCCTAAACCCTAAACCCTAAACCCTAACCCTAAACCCTAAACCCTAAACCCCAAACCCTGGCTTGGGCGACCGAGGATCCGGGTCAAGCTCAACAGCGGCCGTCTTCCCGCTGAGGAGGCCCACCTCGACGCGGATCGCCATGGCGGGGCGGCGCAAGGCTCAAGGCTCAGCAGGCCGACAGGCCGAAACTCTAAACCCTAGCCCTAAACCCTAAACCCTAAACCCTAAACCCCTAAAGCCCTAAACCCTAAACCCGAAACCCGAAACCGAAGCCCTGAACCCTAAAACCTGCCGGGCCCTACGGGGTCCCAGAGCAAAAGGCTAAAGGCCAAACACCCCTAAACCCTGAACCCTAAACCCTGAACCCTAAACCCTAAACCCTAAACCCTGAACCCTAAACCCTGAACCCTAAACCCCTAAACCCTAAACCCTCAACCCTGAACCTCTCATCTCAAGGTTCCGGCACCCAAGGCTTCGGGATGTCTCCACCCCACCGAGTCACTGCTTAGAGGTTCATGGCACTTAGGAACCCAGTTAGAACTGGTCTTATAACCCAATTAGGTTAGGGTTTAGGGTTTAGGGTTCAGGGTTCAGGGTTCAGGGTTCAGGGTTTAGGGTTTAGGGTTTAGGGTTTCGGGTTTAGGGTGTAGGGTGTAGAGGGTTTAGGGTTTAGGGTTTAGGGTTTAGGGTTTAGGGTTTAGGGTTTAGGGTTTAGGGTTTAGCACTTGGAGGGTTCATGGTACTTCGTAAACTGAAACCTACGACTCAAAAGAAGAAGCCTTGGCTGCGGAGCATGTGAAGTAGGGCTTTGCATTCCTTGTACCCCCCAAAGGGGTTTAGGGTTTAGGGTTTAGGGTTTAGGGTTTAGGGTTTAGGGTTTAGGGTTTAGGGTTCAAAGCATGGCCGTCATGGCCCAGAAGCTCTAAGATCAGCACGAGCCTGAAAATCCTCAACCCTAAACCCTAAACCCTAAACCCTAAACCCTAAACCCTAAACACAGAACCCCTAAACCCTGAACCTAAGATCCAAATGACGGAACCTGATGCTTCGTGTTGCGGTTGCGAGAGGCTTGCGGTGGGTTTTTGGGACTTTCGACCTGCGGGTGACGAACGTTTAGGGGTCAGGGTTGAGGGTTTCGGGTTTAGGGTTTAGGGTTTCGGGTGTAGGGTTTAGGGTTTAGGGGTTTAGGGTTTAGGGGTTTAGGGGTTGAGGGGTTGAGGGGTTTAGGGCTTAAAGGGGTCCGCCGACCCTGGCGGCGTGTTGGATGGGAAAAGGAGGTGAAAACCTCCCAGACGGAAAGGGGGGGGGGGGGGGGGGGGGGGGGGGTTAGGGGGGGGTTTTTGGAAAAAACCCCTCTTTACCCCCCCCCCCCCCCCCCCCCCCCCCCCCCCCCCCCCCCCCCCCCCCCCCCCCCCCCCCCCCCCCACCCCCCCCCCCACCCCCCCCCCCCCCCCCCCCACCCCCCCCCCCCCCCCCCCCCCCAACCGCAAACAAAATCACCAAACCCCAAACCTTAAACTTGTTCTCCTGCAGGGTCGGCGGCTTGAGCCGGAGGCTCTTAAATTTGCGGTTGACGGTTTCGGGCTTAGGGAGAACGGTACTCTACGCCCTACTGCCACGCTGAGTCGACAGGACAGCTTGCTTCTAGGGGTTGCACCTTGGACCCTTAAGGTTGTACCCTTGGGTGTTGGGGAACCTTTTTAAAGATCCTTAAGGTACTATAAGGGCCACCCTAAACCCTAAACCCCTAAAGCCCTAAAGCCCTAAACCCTAAACCCTAAACCCTAAACCCTAAACCCTAAACCCCTAAACCCCTGAACCCTAAACCCTAAACCCCCTAATCGGAGTATAATTAAGGGGACAACCCTGGGGGGTGCGAGTCTGAATCCCCTTGATTGCTGGGAACAGCTGGCCTGATGCACTGCTGCTGAGAGGGCCCGTTGGGCGCCGTCCTGGGAGCAGTTTTATGGGTTGAGGGCTGAACCCTAAACCCTAGACCCTAAACCCTAAGCCTAAACCCTAAACCCGGATCTATGGCTGAACTGCCCCCTGGGTGCCCTGAAGTTTTTGAGCTCGACAGCGTTCGGAACCCTAAATCATGGGCCCCCAAATGCCTGAATGCCAAAGCACTTGAACTCTAAACCCTTTAAACCTTGAATGGCTTCTTGTAAAGATGAGGGTTTTGGGTTTAGGGTTTAGGGTTCAGGGTTTAGGGGGTTTAGGGTTTAGGGGGTTTGGGGTTTAGGGTTTAGGGTTTAGGGTGTTGGGTTTAGGGTTTAGGGTTTAAGGATCTTAGCATAGAAACCAGTGCGGGGCTTTCGGGCTTAGGGTTACGAAGCCCGAAACCTTCAACCCGAGACACACCAAACCCCCAAGCCCCCAAACCCCCAAACGCCATCCCAAATTTCCCCAACTCTGAGGCCCGTGCATGCTGGCACTGCGTCCGTCCTTGACAGAACAACCCCAAACCCTAAACCCTCGAGACTGCGTCGGGCTTTAGAAGCTTCAGTGTCCAGCTGAGGGTTAGGGGGTTGATGGCTTGTAGGGTTGGGGGGTAAAGCCGAGCGAGAGAGAGAGAGAGAGAGAGAGAGAGAGAGAGAGAGAGAGAGAGAGCGAGAGCGAGAGATTAGGGTTTAGGGCTTAGGGCTTAGGGCTTAGGGCTGAGGGCTGAGGGCTGAGGGCTGAGGGCTTAGGGCTTAGGGCTTAGGGCTTAGGGTTGAGGGCCCCGGGTCCTGGTTGACGGCGGAGCCGATGAGCATGGCCAGGCAAAGCTGGACAGGGCGCGCAGATGCTTTGCTTTTGGAGCGGCGTGGTCTCTAAGACTGTCAGGTTTGAGACTTGGGAGCTGGAAACCTCGGGAGCCCCAAACATTAAACCCTAAACCCTAAACCCTGAACCCTGAACCCTAAACCCTAAACCCTAAACCCTAAACCCTAAACCCTAAACCCCCAGAAAGCCCTCTCGAATCGCGGCTCGGCACTCGGCCCTCGCCTGCGCCTCGCTGGCATCCGGGCTCATCTTCCTGGGCTTCGGCTTGAGGGTTTCGGGTTTAGGGTTTAGGGTTTTGGGTTTTGGGTTTAGGGTTTAGGGTTTAGGGTTTCGGGTTTAGGGTTTAGGGTTTAGGGTTGAGGGTCAGGGTTTAGGAGTCAGGGTTCAGGGTCTATGTAGGGTTTAGGGTTTAGGGTTCAGGGTTCAGGGTTTAGGAACCCTTGATGCTAAACCTGAAGCCCCAAGACCCTGAAAACCCTAAAGAACCTCAAGACCCCAAAAAACCTACCAAAAGCCCTAAAAATCCCCCAAAAAACCCTAAAAACCCTAAAAGCCCCACGTGCCTTTGGTGTATTCTGGCCCAGGGGATGACCCTAAACCTAAACCCCTAAAAGCCCTAAAAGCCCTAAAACCCCTAAAACCCTAAAAGCCCTAAAAGCCCTAAAAGCCCTAAAACCCCTAAAACCCCTAAAACCCCTAAAACCCCTAAAACCCCTAAAACCCCCAAAACCCCTAAGACCCCTAAAACCCCTAAAACCCCTAAAACCCCTAAAACCCCTATGTAGAAGTTATGTGCTTCCTCAATCACGTTTCTGCAAAAGTCCTGTGCCGGTTTCCCTTAAGACCGGCGCGTTCCCTCCGATGTGTGCAGCGCAATCCTGTTGCATGCACGGGGGTGAGGTGGGAACAAAACTCTCAAGCCGCCCAAAAGGGTTGGCCGTATAGCTTCAGAGCATGTTGGCGGTTATGCCAATCTACACCCTAAAACCCCTAAAACCCCTAAGACCCCTAAAACCCCTAAAACCCCTAAAACCCCTAAAACCCCTAAAACCCCTAAAACCCACCAAAACCCCTAAACCCCCTAAAAATCCCCTAAACCTCCTAATAAAACCCCTTTAACCCCCTAAAACCTCTAAACCCTAAAACCCGAAAGCCTGGAAAATCGTCGGGAGTTGGGGCTTGGATCGGAGATTGGATGGTCAGAGGCTTGAAGGGGTTTAGGGAGCGAGGATGTAAAAACCCTAAACCCTAAACTCTAAACCCTAAACCCTGAACCCTATATACCCCAAACCCTATAAACCCTAAACCCTATAAACTCTACAAACCCTAAACCCTAAACGCTAAACCCTGAACCCTATAAACCCTAAACCCTATAAACCCTACAAACCCTAAACCCCAAGCCTTACACGCCCGAAACAACTAACGGCCGGGTCACAATGTGAGGCTGCCGCAGCCCTCGCCGCGGGCGTAGCCTGCGCCGCGAGGGTACTAAACTTATACAGGGTTCATGGCTTCTGGTGTTGGGCTGAACCATTTGAGACTTGCCCTCAGCGCGGTTTTCCGGATGGGTTTTCGGGTTCAGGGTTATGAAGGCTATGAGGGGTTTAGGTAGTTTCGGTTCTAGGGTCTAGGGTTTAGGGTTTGGGGTTTAGGGTTTAGGGTTTAGGGTTTAGGGTTTAGGGTTTAGGGTTTAGGGTTTAGGGTTTAGGGTTTAGGGTTTAGGGTAGTTTAGGGTTTAGGGTTTAGGGTGTAGGGCTTGGGTTTAGGGTTTAGGGTTGAGGGTTCAGGTTTAGCAGGGGTTTGGGGTTCAGGGTTCAGGGTTATGACGGGTTTAGGGACTCTGGAACTCTGAGGATGGGGGTTGAGGGTTTCGGGCTTAAGGTTTAGGGTTTAGGGTTTAGGGTTTAGGGTTTAGGGTTTAGGGTTTAGGGTTTAGGGTTTAGGGTTTAGGGTTTAGGGTTTAGGGTTTAGGGTTTAGGGTTTAGGGTTTAGGGTTTAGGGTTTAGGTTTCAGCAGCTGCGGATCGAGCAGCTTTATGGTAAAGATATATTTACAGCTCTGATATAACACCCACCCACCCAGAGAATCCCGTAACATTGAGAAAACCAAACTACAAGCATTCTCTAATCAGCATCAAAGACCTTAACGAACGGACACAACCCGGGAACTCTGAGGATCGGGGTTGAGGGTTTCGGGCTTAGGGTTTAGGGCTTAGGGCTTCAAAAATTCAGGGGTTTGAACACTCGGAGTCTAGGACCTTTTGGGTTTGGGAGCTCAAAGCGCTTACAAAAGCGTTGTTATAACGTTCGGCATCGAAACTCTGTGATTCTGCTACACACCTGCACCCTAATCCGCTCAAGCCCTCAACCTGAAACTCCTAAAACCTTACATCTGAAAAATCCTCCTTGGCCCCGAAAAACTTGCCATGATGCCCCTATACATCCTACAAATAGACACACACACACATCAAATATAATAAACAAGAAGAGGGCCCTAAACCCTAACTTTGCCTAAGCCTGGAAAGCCCTGAACCCTACCCCGTAAACACCCGCCCCTATGCCCAGATCAAGGGACGAAAGGAGGGACCCGTATAAGGGACCTTAGGGGCCATTTAGGGGTCATTTAGGGGGCTACCTCGGTATATAGGGACTATATGAGTTATATATAGGGGTTAGATAGGATTCCCCCTCCTAAACCCAAACCCTAAACCCTAACCCCTAAACACCCAACCCTAAACCCTAAACCCTAAACACCTGAACCCTAAACCCTAAACCCTAAACCCTAAACCCTAAACCCTAAACACCAAACACCTGAACCCTAAACCCTCACCCCTAAACGTCGTGCCAAGTAACCGTCGGCCGTGCCGTCGAAGGTGAAACATCGCCCCCGGGGGGAGAGCATGTGCGGGCCTTGCTTCCAGGGGGTCTTTAGGGTTTAGTTTAGGGCGTTTAGGGGGGTTTAGGGGGTTTAGGGGGGTTTAGGGGTGTTTAGGGGGTTTAGGGGGTTTAGGGGGTTTAGGGGGTTTAGGGGGTTTAGGGGGTTTAGGGGGTCTAGGGCTTAGAGCCAGCAGCGCCCTAAGCCCTAAACCCTAAACCCTAAACCCTGAACCCTAGCAGCCCAAAGTCTTAGGGTAGCTTCACGGTCCCTTGAGTGCCCCCTTAATTGGGGAACCCCTATATCCCCCCCCCCCCCCGTGGTTCAACACGCCCCTGAAAATATTATTTAGGGCTTAGGGGTTGGGGTTGAGGGTTGAGGGCTTAGGGTTTAGGACTTCGGGTTGAGGGTGGGGTTTAGGGTTTCAGGGTTAGGGGTTACGGGGTTGGGCGGGGGGGGGGGGGGGGTTCCATGCAAAGGGGGTCGATTACGCGGAACGCGGGCGCATAAACCCCCTTGTCTACCCTATGAAACCCAAGGGCCCATACTTCAGAACCCTTCTTTCCCTTCATGCAAACATCCAACCCCTAAGGCCTTGAAACAGAGCCCATGAAAAGCTTGGGTCTGAGGGTCTTCCCTTAGCTAGCACAAGGCTGGTGACCCAGCTGAGGGCTGAAGGGGTAGGGTGTCGGAACCCTAAACCCTAAACCCTAAACCCTAAACCCTAAACCCTAAACCCTAAACCCTAAACCCTAAACCCTAAACCCTAAACCCTAAACCCTAAACCCTAAACCCTAAACCCTAAACCCTGTTCGGGTCTTCCTAGTTCACGGCTTCACGTGTTCGGGGCGCCGAGCTTTAGAGCTTTTGGGAGGCTTAGGGCCCACCCGTCCCGCCGAAAGCAGGCTGAGAATGCCGCCAGAGTAGAGGATATACCTCAGGGGCCCGCCCCAGAATAAAACTTATGGTTTAGAGAGTTTACAGGGCTTAGGGCTTGGGGGACCCTAGATTGCCCCAGTCAGCCCTCAAAGATCTGAGTGTTTTTTGGCTGCGTTCCGAAACCCTTCAAACCCCAAACCCAGAACCCTAAACCCTAAACCCCGAAACCCTAAAGCCTAGGCCACACAATCGAGCCTCCCTATAGCCTCCTCAAAAAGAGGCCCTATACTACTATTTCCTTCGGAAACGCCCCAAGATATTTAATCTCCTTCCTTATATGGGCAATATAGGGATGACTATTTCTTTTTTTTGGGGGGGGGAGGGTCTTAAGCAAATAGTCGTGTGCATCCTACGACACTCTGAAAGGGAAAGCTGAGGGCACAGGGTTCCTAGGGTTTAGAGCTTTGAGTGCAGGATTTGGGAACCCCAAAAAGAGTTTCCGTCACAGACTCTTAGCGCGGCTCCCATGCTTGTGTATACGGGGGAATCCTAAACCCTCCTAAACCCTAAACGCCTCAAGGCCCTTAGGGTAGAACGGCAGAGCCCCTTGGGCTTAGGGCTTCGGGCATAGGGTTTGGGGCTTTGGGGTTACGGCTGCTTAGGGTTTCGGGCTCAGGGCTTAGAGCTTCCTTAGGGCTTAGGGCTTAGGGCTTCGGGCTTAGTGCTTAAGGCTTAGGGCTTCGGGCTTAGGGCTTAGGGCTTCGGGCTTAACCTAGGGCTGAGGGCTTAGGGCTTAGGGCTTAAGGCTTGGGGCTTCGGGCTTAGGGCTTAAGGCTTAGGGCTTCGGGCTTCGGGCTTAGGGCTTAGGGCGGGCTTAGGCTTCGGGCGTAGGGCTTAGGGCTTAGGGCTTGGGGCTTAGGGCTTAGGGCTTCAGGCTTGGGGGGCTTGGGGCTTGGGGCTTGGGGCTGCTTTGGGCTTAGGGCGTATTAGGGCTAGGCCTGAGGGCTTAGGGCTCAGGGCCTAGGGCTAGTGAACATCCGCAGAATCCCGAAAGCCCCTCCCTTGGCCCAAAAAAAGCAACAACCGAGGTTCCCCAGTGACCAAGGAACACCCCTTGTTTGGTTTGCGAGGATTATACAAGGGGACCTCAAGCCCAAAAAAAGGGAAGAAGGGCACTACTGGGCATCCTCGATACAAAGCCTACACCCTAAACCCTAAACCCTAAACCCTAAACCCTAAACCCCCAATATGGCCAGGTGGCATTCGCGGCGACAGGAGCAAGTTGCAGCCCTGGGCTAAGGCCATCTTCACCTGTGACGCGAAGGGTTTAGGGTTTAGGGTTTAGGGTTTAGGGTTTAGGGTTTCGGGTTTAGGGTTTAGGGTTTAGGGTTTAGGGTTTAGGGTTTAGGGTTTAGGGTTTAGGGTTGTTGGACAAGCCGAGGCTCGTTGGGGCGGCGTCTGGGGCTTAATACAAGGGCCTGAATAGTTAGAACAGGGCTTTGGGGGATAGCAGAGCAGACGCATAAAGGGACCATAAGGGAATCTGATGAGTAATTATTCCGACCCTGTATTACAGGGGTTTCCTAAAACCTAAACCCTAAACCCTCAACCCCAGACCCAAAATCCTACACCCTAAACCCTAAACCAATTCCAAAACCCTAAACCTGGGGCTTAGAGGTCTTAGTGACCGTAGGGTTTTGGGGGGTCGCTTGGGGCTCAGGGCTTGTGTTGCTGTAAGCAAGCCACGCGCTGATGACAGAACTCTGAAAGTAAGCGAACAGAAACCCTAAACCCTAAACCCTCAACCCTAAACTTCCTAGACCGCAGCCCAGGGTGCGACTGACAAGGGATGAGCTTTGGTGTGGTAGCTCTAGAACCTAAACTTAAACCCCAAAACCCTAAACCCTAAACCCCTAAACGCTAAACCCAAAACCCTAAGCCCGTAGAAGCCGTAATTCACAAGGCTCATCCTCGAGTTCAGCCCGTTCTCTGCTCTAACCCTGAAGGATTGGATTAAGCGTTCACAAGGCCTCGTACTTAGGGTTTAGGGTTTAGGGTTTAGGGTTTAGGGTTTAGGGTTTAGGGTTTAGGGTTTAGGGTTTAGGGTTTAGGGTTTAGGGTTTAGGGTTTAGGGCCTAGGCGGAGTACGCGCTTTGAGCCTAAAGCCATCATAGGGGCCATTCGGTTCGGGTTGGGGCAGCCCGTCTAGGATACTCGGAAGGAGATTCAAAAGGGCGTAACGTTGGTAACTATTGGGTCTCTGTTATTCTTGGCTACCCCTTCGGGGCGGAGGGGGGGGGAGGGGGGACTATGATTCTAGGGGGGCCCGAGACAGAAACAGAACGGCGAAACTGCGCAATTCCTCTGCATCCACAAACCCTAAACCCAAACACCAAACCCTAAACCCTAAACCTCTAAAGCCTAAACCCATGAACCCTAAACCCTTTTTCCCTAAACCCTAAACTCCTGAACCCTAAACCCTAAACCCCAAGCTCTGAACCCCAAACCCTAAACCCTAAAGCGAAACAACATGTGTTGCAGTTTGGAGGTGCAACCAAACCCGTTAAGACTCCCCAAGCACAAGCCCTGGCCCCTAAGCACCGAAAAGCCCCTAGGATGACGGACTAACATTCATAGGCCCTAATTAAACCCTACACCCTAAACCCCAAACCCTAAACCCTAAAACCCCAAACCCTAAACCCTAAAACCCCAAACCCTAAACCCCAAACCCTAAACTCTAAACCCCAAACCCTAAACCCCAAACCCTAAACCCCAAACCCCAAACCCTAAACCCTAAAACCCTAAACCCCAACCGCGAAAACCCCCAAGGCCGAACCCTGGGGCCCCCTGCGTGTGGGTTCACGCCGGGGTCCACCTGCTCAGCGCTCACCTTGCCGGAGTTGTGTGGGGGTTAAGGGTTTAGGGCTTAGAGGTTAAGGGGTTCGGGTTTAGGGTTTAGGGTTTAGGGTTTAGGGTTTAGGGTTTCGGGTTTAGGGTTTAGGGTTCAGGGTTTCGGGTTCTATAAGGTTGCAGGTTCTCTAGGGCTCTCGAGGGCTTAGGGCACTCTGGCACCTTGCGGAGCGCGGTGTGGGCGACGCCGATGGCCACCAGCGAGGAGGAGCCTCGGGTTGAGGGCTTTTGGGGTTCAGGGTCTAGGGGTTTAGGGTTTGGGGTTTGGGGTTTAGGGTTTAGGGTTTGGGGTTGAGGGTTAGGGTTTAGGTTTTGAGTTTAGGGCTTAGGGTTTAGTGCTTGGGGCTTGGGACGGGGCTCAGTATGTAGGGTTCTTGGCAGGGGGAGGGGGGTTAAGAGTTCAAGGGTTTGGGGTTTAGATCTTGTGGGGTTTTAGGGTCTAGGGCTCGTGAGGGCTTAGGGCAGGAGATGGCGTTTCGAGCCCTAAGCCCTAAACCCCTGAATCTTCAACCCTAGAAGGCTAAATCCTGAACCCTTCTCCCTGAACCCGAAACCCTAAACCCTAAACCCCTAAACCTAAACTCTAAGCCCTAAACCCTGAACCCCAAACCATGCACCCTGAACCCTGCTTGAAGGTTCAAGGTACCTAATCACCCAAATACAACTGTTCACCCAATTATAACAACATTAGGGCACCTAAGAGGCTTTTAAGTACATTTGGTTAGTAAGTACCACGAACCTCCAAGTAGACCCTAAACCCGAATCCCAGCGGCACGCCGTGTCCACCGTAAGCGTGGGCCCCGTGAGTCCCAGCGAGTGAGCCAGGCGCGAGCCTGTATTTAGCATTTGGGGTTCAGCGTTCAGGTTTTCGGGTTTAGGGTGTCGGGTTTAGGGTTTGGGGTTTCGGGTTTAGGGTCGAGGGTCTCGGGCTTAGGGCATCCCCGGCTTTATGGGTTTCAGGACAGGTCTAGGGAGTTTAAGGGTTTTGGAGTTTAGGTGTTCAGGGCTAGTGTGGAAGTGTTTTGGGGCTCAGGTTGAGGGTCCTGTTGCTGCGGCACCAACAAAACCAACCAGTTCAGCGCTTCAAGGATTCGTAGGGATTAGGGTTTAGGGTTTAGGGTTGAGGGTTGAGGGTTGGGTTGTAGAGGATTGCAGAGGCGTAGGGTCATAGTTCAGGGTTACATGTCTTAGGGCTGAGAGTTCGGGGTTCCGAGTTTAGAAGCCACGGCTCCTACGGGGGGGCTTAGGGTTTAGCCTAGGGGGAGCTTAGGGTTTAGGGTTTGGGGTTTAGGGTTCAGGGTTCAGGGTTCATTGTTCCGGGTTCCGGGTTCAGGGCCAGGGTTCAGAGTCGGAAGGGCTTCGAAACTCGAAGACGCTCAAAGCCCGTAAGCCCGAGAAGCAACAACGCCCCGTTAAAAAAAAAAAAACAACAAAACCGGTTTGGGGTTTAGGGTTTAGGGAGCGGAGTCCCTGAAAACAACATGCCTCTTTTAAACCCTACACCCTAAACCCCTATCTTTACACCGAAGGCCTAAACCCCTAAGCCTCTTCAATCTGAACCCCAAGCCCCAAACCCCACCAATGCGACACCCCTTAACCCTAAACCCCCATTCTTAACCCCTACACCCTCAACCCTAAAATATCACCCTAAACCCTCAACCCTAAACCCCACCATCCCTCAACCCTAAACCCTAAACCCCACCAACCCTAAACCCCACCAACCCTAAACCCCACCAACCCTAAACCCTAAACCCTAAACTCTAGACCCTAGACCCTAAACCCTAAACCCCTAAACCCCAAACCCCTTGAGCCCAAAACCCGGAAAGGCTCGGGCCTCCGATGCCCTGCGCCGAGCCCAAGGCCCGCGCCGGCCCAGCGAGGTGGCCGAACCTGGAGGATTTTGGGGGTTTGTTTTGGGGGGTTTGGGGTAAAACCCTGAACCCTAAACCCTAAACCCTAAACCCTAAACCCTAAATCCTAAACCCTAAACCCTAAACCCTAAACCCTAAACCCTGAACCCTAAACCCCAAACCCTAAACCCTAAATAGCTCTCTTCGAGCAGCAGCTGTGGCCAGTCGCAGCCCGAGTCCCCCAGGTACACGCCGCAGCGCAGGCCCATGGCCGAGGCCTTCTTGGGAAGGTGGTTTAGGGTTTCGGGGTTGAGGGTTTAGGGTTTAGGGTTTAGGGTTTAGGGTTTGGGGTTTAGGGGTTTAGGGTTTGGGGTTTGGGGTTTGGGGTTTGGGGTTTAGGGTTTAGGGTTTAGGGTTTAGGGGTTTAGGGTTTAGGGTTTAGGGTTTAGGGTTTTGCGGTTTAGGGCTCAGGGTTTAAGGTTTGGGTTTCAGTTTGGGGCTTTGGGTTTAGGGTCTGGGACTTAGGGCTCTGTCCCCGTGCGCCCCCACCCCCGACCCCCAAAATGTGCAGTTCCACGATTTTTCCCGAGACTGTCGAGCGGGCTATGGCTCGATTCATGCAGAGCTACAAGGCTTGGGGCCTTGGCCGGGTTCGCCGTTTGGGGCATTTCGGTGTTGCTAGCTAGGATGGCCCTTAAAACCCTCTGACAAACATTCCTGAATATGATCCCTAAACCCTGAACCCTAAACCATAAAACCTAAACCCTAAACCCGAAACCCTAGACCCTAAATCCCAAACCCTAAACCATAAACCCTTAACCTAAGGGAAAATATGAAATGTCCCGAGGGCCCACCGAGTTAGGGTATGCCGGTTCAGGGGCAGTTTCGCGCTTGGGCATTAGACATTGCAGGGAACCCTAAACCATAAGGGTCTAGGGTTTAGGGTTGAGGGTTTAGGGTTAGGGTTTAGGGTTTAGGGTTGAGGGTTGAGGGTTTTGGGTTTTGGGAAACCATAGCCCCCAGAGGGGGGGATATGCTCCACAACGCCAACCGTCAGCCCGAACCCCTACAGCCCTGAACCGCAAACCCCTACAAGCACCAGAGCCCTAAACCTCAAAACTCTACACTGAACCCTAGAACCTTAAGATAGGTACTTGGTCTCTTGGTATGAGCCCTTAAAAGGGGGACTCCTTATACACCCCTTATATACCCTACGTATACAGCCCAAGGGTACGGGACCATATGAGGGGCCCAAGAAACTGCCCTTAGAAGAACCCTAAACCCGAAACCCTGAAACCCTGAAACCCTGAAACCCTGAAACCCTAAACCCTAAACCCTGAAACCCTAAACCCTAAACCCTAGAAGCTTCACCCCAAACCCCACCCACCGCTGGATGGCCTTGGTGATGCCGGCGTTGTGAAGCGCCTCCCCGAACATGGGGTTTAGGGTTTGGGGTTTGGGGTTTAGGGTTTAGGGTTGAGGGTTTAGGGTTTAGGGTTTAGGGTTTAGGGTTGAGGGTTTAGGGTTCAGGGTTGAGGGTTTAGGGTTGAGGGTTGAGGGTTTAGGGTCAGAGGGCTGTAGGCTGTGAGTGTTAAGTCCCTCGAAGGCTTTGTAGCATGCGAAGGGCAGCTCCCAGGGCAGCAAACACCCACCCTAAACCCTATTTCTGTTCTAGGCCTTACCCTTTAGCGTTTGGGGTTTAGGGTTTAGGGTTTAGGCTTTAGGGTTTAGGGTTTAGGGTTTAGGGTTTAGGGTTTAGGGTTTATGGTTCAGGGTTTAGGGTTTAGGGTTTAGGGTTTAGGGTTTAGGCTTAAACTCCCTTTTGCAGCAAGCTGTTTCGTTACAATGAACTTCTTTCAAGGGGCAAGGCACTTGTAGGGGGCTTGCGGGGTCTGAGGGGGGTCTCTTGGACCGTTAACGGGCGCCTCGTAGCCGGTCTGCATCACCAGTCTCTGCCCCGGCGACATCACGTGCGCCTACAGGGGCGCGTGGTTTAGGGCTTAAGGGTCCTTTTCGGCGTAGGGTCTTTAGGGCGTTTAGGGTTTTTAGGGCGTGGTTTAGGGCTTAAGGGTCTTTTTCGGCCTAGGGTCTTTAGGGCGTTTAGGGTTTTTAGGGTTTTGTTCGTGGTTTTGAGGGCTTCCAGGTTTCAGAAAGGGCTAAGGCTTTGGGATTAAGGGTTTTAAGGGTCTGGGGCTTTGAGAGGTGCTTTTTGTTGCGAGATGGTTGAAAGGGCATAGGGCCGTGCTTTCAGAAGTTCGGGTCTTCAGGGTTCAGAACCACCGTACAAACTCCGTGAAACCCATAAACCCATAAACCCTCTAAACCGCATAAACCCTTTACAGAACTGCAAGTGGCGTTCACCCCCTTCATCAAAGAATGTTCCTGACATTCTGGGTTGATGTTTAGGGTTCTTAAGGAAACCGGGTTTAGGGTTTACGGCTCATGCAATCAGTCATGCGGACTGCCACGACACTGGGTTTAGGGTTTCGGGTTTGGGGCTTCGGGTTTAGGGTTTAGGGTTTAGGGTTTAGGGTTTAGGGTTCAGGGTTCAGGGTTTAGGGTTTAGGGTTTAGGGTTTAGGGTTTAGGGTTTAGGGTTTAGGGTTAGTTGAGGATGTGGCTTGAGGGCTTGGGGTTAAAGTCATCTCACGACTCTTTGTCGGCCTTAAAGAGCTTTCCATTCTGTCAGGGGTACTGGAGTCTCTGGAGGTTTAGGGCTAAGGGTTTTAGGGTTTAGGGTTTAGGGTTTAGGGCTTAGGGTTTAGGGTTTAGGGTTTGCCGGATGAATCCGAAACCCTCGGCCCTCAACCCTCAACCCCCAGCCGCCCCAGCCCCCCTTCTCCCTTTCAGATGGTCCTCCTCCTCGGAGAGCCCGAAGAAGACGTTGTCGAACATAATGACATCATCCTGAATTCATAGGGCTGGAGGGGGGGGCGGGGGGTTCATGGGTCGTCAACGTTTAGGGTTTAGGGTTTAGGGTTTAGGGTTTAGGGTTTAGGGTTTAGGGTTTAGGGTTTAGGGTTTAGGGTTTAGGGTTTAGGGTTTAGGGTCTAGGGTTTAGGGTTTAGGGTGTACAAATAGCAACAGCAGCCCGGAACCAAAAACTTGGGCTCTCTTGTGGGGTGTAAGGGGAGGTACCGGGGGGGGTACCCACATGAGGCCTCAGGAAATCGGGTCTTCAGGGGTTGGGTTCAGGTAGGGTTCAGGGTAGAGGGTTTGTTGCCCAAGGAAGCCTGAAACAAGAATGTAGACCGGCAAAAAGGCGGAATACTCGTACAGCACTTCTGCATCTTCTCCAGGAAATCAGCCAGCTTTGGGGTGAGCATCTTGATAAACTCCATGCAGGCTCTTTGCCCAAAAGTCGGAACTTGTTCATGTAGGGAGGAAGCTGGACCTGGCCGTCTTCCCCAACAACGACCGTGTCCAGGGAATCGTGCGACCCCGGACCTTCGTGCCCATCGCTGCCCACACTTGCACGTCAAGGGTCACACTTAACATAGGGGTCGGAATACTTACGAGGAGCATTCCCTTAGGGTCACTCTTTAAGCATCTAGAATAACCCCCGAAAACCCTATTCGAACTACTCATTTACAAATTTGTTGAGGCTACTCAGAATTCTCGGCAGCCAAGCGGCCCTTACTCTGTCAAGGGGTATCGGACCGGATGTGGGTTTGGGGGGTGCTTCAATCTTGGGGCTTCTCAAGGTTCATTTAGGGTTCTCAAGGGTTCTTTAAGGGTTCTCCAGGGTTCTTTTCAAGGGTTCTTTTAAAGGGTTCTTTTAAGGGTGCTTTTCAGGGTTCTTTTCAGGGTTCTTTTCGGGGCTCTGAAGGGTTCTTACTCAAACGAATTACAAGAAAACATCCCATGAGCCCAATGAGGGAATGCAAAACATTCCAAGGGCCTGCCTAGCCCTAAACCCTAAACCCTAAACCCTAAACCCGAAACCCTAAACCCTAAACCCTAAACGCTAAACGCTAAACCCAACTCAAGGCTTCAATCCCCCAGAATATCGACCGCCGCCGCGCAACGTCGGCGCAAAAGCCGCCGTGGATGGCGTAGGTGAAACCCTCCTGCGGCAGTTTAGATTGTAGGGTTGAGAGTTTAGAGTTTAGCGTTTAGGGACAAGGGGTTTAGGTTCCGGGGCTTGGAGCTCTCTAAAGCCTAAACCCCAAACTTCAGGACCGCCTGAGGCAACCTAAAACCGAAACCCGAACCGCTAAACCCAAGGGCTATAAGGGCTATATAAGGAGTAAAATGTGTAAAGTGTTTCTGGGGTAAACTACCCACCTCAAGCAGCGGGGCGGGGGGGGGAGGGGAGGGGGGTCTTCTGGCGTCGAAGGCGTTGAGCCTCGAATGCTCCGAAAGTCTAAGCCGAAGCCCAGCGCAAAAAACCCTGGGCCCCAAAGCACTAAACCCTAAGCCCCTAAACCCCTTGCCTTAACCTACAGTCTAAACCCTAAGCCCCTAAACCCCTTGCCTTAAGCTAAAGTCTAAACCCTAAGCCCCTAAACCCCTTGCCTTAACCTAAAGTCCAAAAAAAACCCTACAACCCTAAGCCCCTGAACCCCTCAACCCCCTAAGCTCCTAAACCCTGAGCCCCTAAGCCCCTAAGCCCCGAAGCCCTTTTGGGGCTTTTGGGCCTCGGGCTTCTATAGTGCTGGGCCCGGGGGGCTCAGGGTTTGCAGGGCTTCTAGGGCTTTGGGGGTTCTGGGGGTTTTAAGGGTTTGTAGGGTTTAAGCTCAGAGGCTTAGCGCCACTTTGAAAGTTTCCAAGCATGTGTCCTTCAGCAAATCAAGTAAAACCCCTACTTAGAACCCTCTCCAAGTAAGCCCCGAATCCTGAACCTGAGCCCTAAACCCTATGGTTTCGGAATTCAGGGTTTCGGGTTGTAGGGGAATAGCGGTCTAAGGGTTTAGATTCTAGGGGTCTAGGGGTTTAGGTTTAGGGTTTAGGGTTTAGGGTTCAGGGTTGAGGGTTTAGGGTTTAGGGTTTAGGGTTTAGGGCTTAGGGTTTAGGGTTTAGGGTTTAGGGTTTAGGGTTTAGGGTTTAGGGCTCACACCCTAAGTTGGAGGGCTCAGACGGGCTCCTTCTCATCTGCTGAGAAGTACTCGGTCGCGTCCCATCCTCAGCAACTCGGGTTGCAGCAGAAACCCGAGAAATGGGCTCAGGGTTCAGGGCGCTTGAAGGCTGAGAGTTTAGGGGTTTGGGGCTTGGGGATTTCCTGCGGGGCTTAGGCTTTGGGGTAGGGCTTCGGGTTCCGAATCTCAGGTCAAAGCATTCACTAGTAAAGCAGCTTGTCAAGCAGCTGCTTGCCAAGCAGGCAAGCAGCTTGGCAAGCAGCTTGGCAACACCCACCCACCCATTGGGTGGCGTGGTTTTGTAGAAGTGGAGATGATGATGACACTTTAACCGCAGCCTCGAGAAGAGCGACAGGAGGCGCACACTTGGGCAGCAGTAAGCGAGAAACCCTAAAGACCAGCCCCCAAAGACCTTAAAAACCATGCCCCCGCAGGCCCTAAACCCAGAAATGCCCACGTAATGTAGACCCTATGCCAACGGAACTTTGACCAAAATGTCCGCGGACACACCGAGAATAAGCAGGCACTACCTAAAAAATAGCGGGCAGTACCCAAAAACAAGTCTGCAACTGTTTTTGAGTATTGACCGCTCATTCTTGGAAAAACAATTTCCACTATTCTCTTCTACCAATGTCCACGACATGTTGACCAAAATGCGCTCGGAATCTTGACCACACTGAATACTTTGACCAAGACCCACGGATGCTTGATACAATGCCGTTGGGTAATGCCCGCTAATGTTTGGCCAATGCCCACCATTGTATGAAGGATCGGTTTAGGTTTAGGCCCTAAACCCCGAACTCTAAACCCCAAAACACTAAACCCTAAACCCTTAAACCCTAAACCTCCAAAACCTCCACCCAAAAACCCTCGGAGGGTCCCTCAACCCAAAGCCCGTCATCCGGCGGCCGGGCGGGTCACCGGCACCTTGACGAGGCCGTCGGCGCCACCTTTAGGCTTCTTAGGGCTTCTTGGGGGGTTGAGGGTTTAGGGTTTAAGGGTTTAGGGTTTAGGGCTTTGGGGCTTAGGGTTTAGGTTTTGGGGCTTTGGGGCTTAAGGGTTTAGGGTTTAGGGTTTAAGGTTTGGGGGTTTCGGGTTTAGGGTTGGGGGGTTTGGGGTTTCTAGAGTTGGGGACCCTTAGCCTCGAACCCTAGACTGCTCTGGATGTGGGGCTTGGGAAGGTTCTGAAGGGAACCGGATCTTGAAAAGAGTGTGAAAAAGGCACTGCCGAAACCCTGTACATCCTAAAAACCCTCAACCCTAAACCCCGAAACCCCGAAACCCCCAAACCCCAAACCCCAAAGCCCCCCCCCCCCCCGGCCCCGCCTAGCGCCACCAGCCAGTACGACTCTTGGTTCCGGCTGTCGCCCGGGTAGTGGCAGGCCATAGACCTGTCGGGAGGTCTGTAAACCCTAAGCCCTAAACCCCTAACCCCAAACCCTAAACCCCTAAACCCCAAACCCTAAACCCGGGACCCTAGACCAACCCTAAGCCCTAACGTGAGGGCTTAGGGTTTACGGATTAGCCGGTAGGTGTCCAGGGAAGTCTTTTGACAGAATTTTGGGGTTCTAGGGCTTCGGGCAAAACCCTAAACCCTAAGCCCTAAACCCCAAACCCTAAACCCTCAACCCTAACTCTGGCTGTAGGATGTTCTAGGATGCTTTGGGTCTTCCAGAGCTTTTGCTTTAGAAGGGCTCGGGATGGTTCAGGGTTTCGGGTTTAGGGTTTAGGGTTAGGCCGCCTAGCTCTGGAAGGACTGGAGCCTTTAAGCCCTTGATTTCTGCAATCGCGCGCCAAGAGCTCCGCGGGGCAAGGGGTGTACACCCTACACCTAAACCCCAAACCCTAAACCCTAAACCCCTAAACCCTAAACCCTAAACCCTAAACCCCAAACCCTAAACCCTAAACCCCTAAACCGGGAGGAGCCTGATCATGGCCTGGTTGTCGGTCATGAGCTGCGTTGGCACCTCCGGGGCTTCTTGAGGGGGGGGCTTGGGGGGTTTAGGGTTTGGGGTTCAGGGTTTAGGGTTTGGGGTTTAGGGTTTAAGGGTCTAGGGTTTAGTGTGGAGGCCGCGTGCATTGCTGATCATAAGGAACAAGCCAAATAGTCTGGTCATTCCTTTCTACGCTCATGCGACCCCCGACACGGGCCAAATTGTGGCCGGCCAGGGTTGAGGGCTATGCCCTCAACTGGCAGCCTTATGCAGAAAACACTCTAACCCCTGAAGCAAAAACCCCTAAACCCGAAACTTTAAACCCGAAACCCTAAACCCTAGACCGAGATGCCTGAAGCCCAACTAAGCAACTCAACCCTAAAACCCTAAACGCTAAACCCCATGGCCCGAGAAGCACCCTAAACTCACCTTGTAAGCCTTACAAGGCCCTGAGCCCTCCTGTACTACCCCTAAACCCTCAACCCTGAACCCCCTAACCCGGTTAGGGTTTGGGGTTGAGGGTTCAAGGTTTAGGGTTTAAGGCTTAGGGCTTAGGGTTTGGGATTTAGGGTTTAGGGTTTAGGGTGGACGGTTGAGGGTTGAGGGCTGAGGGTTTAGGGACCCTAAACTGCCCTAAGCCCCTCAACTCTACACCATCGCTGGGCCAAGGGGCCGTGACCACCGTCTTCTCCCGTGAGTTGGGCACCACGGACTGCGGGGAGGCCGAAGGGTTTTGGATGCTTTGGAGATGTACGGCTTCTTGGGCTTTAGGGGTTTAAGGGTTCCCCTAAGCCCTAGAAACCCTAAACCCTAAAATCTAAAAACCTAGGGCTTAGGGTTTTGGGCTTTAGGGGGTTTCGGGGTTGAAGGAGTTCAGGGGCGG